CCCTGAGAAGTAAAAAATAGCTGCACAGTAGTTCACTCTCGTCTGGATCCCACTTTGCCTAGCAAGGGTGAAAGACCAGCCTTATACCAGTGTTTCAGCAACTGAGGAGGGGACGCTGCATGGGACAGCCTCCCAAGCAGGGCTTTTCTGGCCCTACGTATTCATGGAGGTAGACTGCAGAAGCCTGCAGGTCGCATTGCAGCAGTGAGAGGGAGAAGCTCTGTCCACAGGGCCCTTGGAACCTCCTCTCTCCTCTGTGGAAGAGCTGCACTGAAGCACACCAGGGACCCCCATATTTGGCCAGTGACACAGCATTTCAGCTGCTTTAATTGGCTCTGACAAGACAAGGATTGCAACTGGCACCTGCTGAGCCCTTGGGGCCATCCAAGGCAGCAGCTGCCACCAACAGCAACACACATGATCCCTGGCCCAACATCACAAGACTATAGAGACATTTCTCATGTAGCCAGTAGCATCACAGTGTCTGCAAAAGGGGCCAAATTAATCTCCTCTGTGACTCTACAGAGAGTGCTGGGATGCCAGCAAGGCACTTGGGATCTGAGCAGAGCCCTTCCCTTCAGCATTTTGGGGTTCACTTCTCTCATAAGGGATGAAAAGGTTTGTGTGTGAACAAGCCTTATGTTCCATAAACTAGAGGGCTGAAGCAAGCAGAGACAATGGCTTGGCGTTTGTTTACTTGGTCTAATTCCAGCTCCAGGTCTGGAAATGCACAGTGAGTCTCCAAGAGCCCATCACTCTACGTCTTTTCTCCTTGAGGCTACTGCCCGCTGTGGGCTCCCTACAACAGCAAGCAACTCCAGCTGCACCTGATCCAGGAGGGCCGATCACAGAGGTCCCTCTGGCCGCCTCATGGATTGAGTCCCTCCAAGTCCCCACTGATGCCATTTGCACAGATGAGCTCAGTGTGAACTCGCTGCTGCTCTGCTCCCTGCATCTGGAGCAGTTGGGCACTGTCCATCCTTCCTGCTGCAGAGCAGCTTGGCCAGAACCAACATGAATCCAAGGCAAACAAGAGAAGATCAGAGGCAGATTTATTCCTCTTTCCTCCTGAGAGTTGCAGGCACTTTTACAGACCAACAGGCACCTTCCATCTCCACAAAAGTCAGCCACCAGCTCAGAATTGAGGCACTGGGATCATCTCCCTTCTTCCCGGTGCCCTTCTGGGCTACAGCACCGCAGCTGTTTAACAGCCCGCTGTGACGCAGCCTCACAGTTTAGGGTAAGAGTGACCCTTACCATTTGAGGTGAGAGAAGAGCACCCTGCATGGTGCTCAATGAGCACTTGACCTAGGAGAAAACTTGCATTACAGTCCTTCACACTAACACTTTAGTCTCCCTCTTTTTTCAGTTCCAAGTCCCTTTTTCCAGCCATCAGCCTTAAGAAGCAGAAGTCTGGAAGTATATATGGCTGCCTCACAGCCCTGCTAAACACTGATGGTGAGAAATAGGGGTCTGGCACCATGGATTCCCCATCCCTGTCCCCCCTCCCTCCCTGCTCAAGCCCACATCTGGGGCCCCTTTAGGACTCTTCCTTCTCTCTTCCTTCCTCAGACTGTTCTTCCTTCCCGACTGGCTGCTCCTGTTGGGTTATCTTCACCTCATTGACTCTGGCCTTCACCTCTCTCCCTGTCCGGGGAGCCACAATGCTTAAGATGCCATCATGGGACAATGTGGCTCTCACCAGCAAGGGGTCGACATCCAGAGGGAGGATGTAGGTCCTGGTGAACTCTCGAGAGATGAAGCCATGGCGGTCAGCCTTCTGTGGGTGCTGCCCCATCACCTCCAGCAGGTTGTCTACAGTGCGGACAGTGAGCTCATCCGGCAGGAACTGACAGACATCCAAGAACACCTGGAATTTGTGCTCATTAAGGTTGATCTCAGAGGTGCCTCGATCCAGCTGCTTATTGATCCGAGGCCTGATGTAGTAGCCATGGTACAGGGCAGGAGCTAAAATCTCACATGGGGACACACCTGAAAATGAGACTCAGTGAGGAGTGTGGAGTTTCCAGGGACAAGAGTTAGAGAAGGATGGTTGGCAGCAGATAGGGGAGGGTGACAGGAGGCTGGGACCTGGCAAACACTTTGGTTTTGCCACCACATCAGCACAATATGGACAGAGTCTCTTGTGGTTCCTACCTTTGTGTCTCCAAAACACACACAGACCCAGATGCCCGCCAGCCACTGCCTCCCACCACACAGCTGGCAGCTGCCAGCAAGCCAAGGGCTGGCATCCAGCTTTTGCATGTCTGCTGAGTGGACAGGGAGGGACTGGTAGGTGCACTGGGTGCTCTGCAGTGCAAAGCCCACAGCCAGGAATGGGCATGGAAAATGCTGATGGTGAACAAACTGCCATGAAGAACTAAAGGCCTTTTGTGTGCCATTGTCCAGGGGGCTTTCCTTGGAGCTTTTTGCTTTTTCACGCTGTTGTGCTGGTGCTGAATGG